CATTGTTACCTTCCTTCCATCACTGTTCTCCTGAGGCCCTCATATTAATGCACCAAGGCTGTATTTAAACAGTAAAGAGTCCTTTTGGCTGGAAATGAAGCGGTACTAAAAGGGATAAAAGCTCTATTCCAGGGGCCTAGAAAGAAGCTGATACACTAGTATAAATATTTGTTTAATAAGTGCTGAATCTCATGAACCATCAACACAGTTTAAAGCAAATGGGATTTTGCCACTCTGAATAGTTCTAGTCAAAGTATTTTTTTGCATAAATTATCAAGAGTAGAGTTCTCCATCTGGTTAATTTTCATCAATATATAGGTGAAGTGTGATTAAAATATTGTAGTGAGGGTAGTAATATTTTTTCTTTTAGTTCTAATGATTTTATGATTTTGTACTTCTGCAAAATAAAGAGCTATTTCACATTTTATACACCTAGATATTCTGATAGTTTTGCCCAGGATTTCAACAATTGTAATTTTTTTTCTTTTTCTCTGAGAAGTTCTGTGTTGGGGAGTCATGTTCTACCTGCCCTGGTTATAAGCTTATCATGAATCCCACGCTACCTTGCTTCTAAGATGCACATTTTCTTCCCTTTTAAAAAAAATGAAGCGCTTCTGACTTCTTGCCCTGCCTCACCGTTGCAGTTATTAAATAGACGGTGCCCTTTAAATGAGGGATATTTGGGAACAGAAGAAATGATCTGCTGACTTCCTTTTGCAAGGTAACGCCAGGCATCTGTCTGCCTTGGGCCTGCTAGGATGTTAGATGGTGAACCCAGCAGGGAAGAGGCCCCGAGGGCGCCAGGAGCCTGGTGCAATCAAGGTGAAGTGGGTGGAGGGTTCCTGGTAGCTGTTTAAATAAGTGCTTGTGGTTACCAGGGGAAACGGGGGAAGGGAGTGATAAATTGGGAGTGTGGGATTGGCGCATACGAACTACTATGTACAGAACAGATAAACAAGGTCCTACACCTGTATAGCACAGGGAACCATATCCAGTGGCTTGCAGTAACCTGTAATGAAGAATATACATCTGTATATGCATAACTGAATCACTGTGCTGTACACCAGAAACTAATACAGCATTGTAAATCAACTATATACTTCAATTAAAAAAATGGGAAAAAATTTCTTCCCTAATTGAAAAGCAAAAAATAAAATAAGTACTGAGGAGACTAGGTGTGGTTGTTTTGAAATGAATTTCACACATATTTCCTGTGCTTTGTCTTCTCAGCTGCCTTTGTCAGGCCAAGTTTAGAAACTGAAGCGGAGTGATTTACTGACAGTTTAACCACATACTGAAACAGGGATTTTACTTGGGTCTTCTGCCTCCCAGTTCCACTCTGTTCTACCACCCTGCTGCCATCCCTGAGATGCAGTGGGATGCCCTCCCTGTGGGTGGTGCTGGGTGGCCCTTCATCTCTCAGTGCTGAGCACTGTGGTCCTCAAATTACGCTCGCCTTCTTTGTAAGACTTCACGGAATCAGTGTCCCGCTCCTCCGCTCTCCCCTCCCGTCCATGACAACCCTCCCAAACATTCCTCATCTTTCTCCATGAAAATGAAAATAAGAAAATGAGAAGATTATTTTCTTTCTAAACGTTCTTGCAGTTTCTCATGCTTGTTTTAACTCAGAAATACAGTGTTCATTTTTACGGTTTTTGGTGGCACTAATCCTTTGTTTATTTTTCCTATCAAAAGACTCCACTGTTGTTATGTTAAGATTTTTTTTTTTAATTTTAGGATTTTTGTTTTTGGCTTTATCTCAGATTCCAAAGCAATTTTTACTTACATAACTTTAAGGGTAGTTGTAGAGCAGGAATGTTCCTCTTTCCTGAGTAGAGAAGCTAAGTTTATTACCAGGTTCAGGTTTGGTCAAAGCCTTCAAAGAATTTGTTCGAGGCATAGCCTTGATTACCTTTATGCTCTGCTTTGAGTTTGCAGTGTCACAGATCCTATGTTAATATCACTGGGGCATAGTTCTGACAATTTTGGCAGTACCCTCTTCCGCAGACTTACTTGCTTACATTGTAGCACATTTTCCTTTATTTTCACATCTCTGTGGCTTGTGCAGAAGCTATTTTAATTCCCATTTCATAGATATGAAAATTGAGATTATGGAATATGTGACTGCTAATAACAACTTACTGAACTATTTTTATGTGCCAGACTTTGTGCTATTTACATTTTTTGGTAAAATTTATTATTATTTTTTTTACTGAGGTGTAATTGACATATAGCATTTTACTGGTGTCAGGTGTACAATGTAATGATTCTGTATTTGTCCACATAGTGAAATGATCACCACAGTAAGTCTAGTTACCATCTGTCAGCCCATAGAGTTAACTTTTATGATTATACTCTCTTGGCAACTTTCAAGTACGTTCTACAATATTCCTGACTGTAGTCACCGTGCTGTACGTGACATCCCCATGGCTTATTTATTTTGTAACTGGATGTTTGTACCTCTTGACCCTCTTCACTTTGTTTTGCTCACTTCCCAACTCCCTTCCCCTCTGACAACCAGCATATCTTTCTCTATACCTATGATTTTTGGGTTTTTTTTTTTGCCACTTGTTTTGTTTTTTAGATTCCACATATAAGTGAAATCACACGGTATTTGTCCTTCTCTGTCTGACTTATTTCACTTAGCATAATTCTCTCAAGGTCCACCCATGTTGTTGCAAATGGCAAGATTTCACTCTTTTATGGCTGAGTAGAATGCCATTCTATTATCCTATCCTCTTATATCTGCCTATCTATTATAGATATATATCTCACATCTTTATTCATTCATCCATCGATGGAAACTTAGGTGGTTTCCAATCTTGGCTACTGTGAATAATGCTGCGATGAACATAGGTGTGTAACGTCAAAATAGTATTTGTGTTTTCTTTGGATAAATACCCAGGAATGGAATTGCTAGATTATTAGTAGTTCTATTTTTAATTTTTTGGGGAACTTCCATACCAGTCCGTACTGTTTTCCATAGTGGCTACACCAGTTTACATTCCCACCAACAATGAACATGTGTCTCCTTTCCTCCACATCACTTGCCAACGCTTGTTATTTGTTCTTTTTGATAATAACCATTCTAACTGGAGTAAGTTGCTATCTCACTGTGGTTTTGATTTGCATTTTTATTTTTTTTT